TGTATAAAAACCGTATTTTGTGAAACCTTAAGTGATGAATAAACTTTTCTCACTTACATATTCTAGACTGAACCTTTCAAAAAAAAATCTCTGAAATATATGGGTGCAGATTTTCAATAAAATAAATTCACTGATGACTTTGAACTTAGAAAGACCATACTAGAAAATTAACTTAACAAATACTCAATAAACAACTTCTCCTACAATCTTGATTTCATATTACATTATTAACTTTCTCTTTCAATTCTTCATATCTAGTCATATCAAGTTTTTCATATACCTCTTAGGAATTTATAATTTGTCCAATGTCGGAAATTTATTTTATGTTTTAAATGATTCCCATTCGCAAATAATCACTATCTCAAATTTTCTGATCAATACACATTATAATACCCGTAGTGTATCTCAGTGAGTCTTAAGTGAAATAGAGTAGCTAATACTCTTATATGAGTTCTTACTGTATCACTCGATTCATATCCTGATTCTTAAAGCATTTGCAGAAAATCTTAAATAGTTTGAATGTGATACTGGGCCAATAATTTGGATAAAATGGAGCTGTTTTATAGTTTCTTTTTGAAACTTAGGAACATGTGTTAACTATTTAGCTTCACTCTCTGAAGAAGCACGAAAGTAGAGAGATTATCTATCATCACCAATATCCTCATTTGAATGTATCGAACATACAAAAGTATCTCTATTCACCAACCATGTGTTAAAATAATATAAAAAAAATTGGGAATTCGTTAGCAATAGCCTCATACTGGAAAATAGATAATAAGCATTGTTGGTAGCAGATTTATTCAATATAATTAAAGAATTTTCAGTTTTATTGACAAATTTATTCACTGAAAATAGAAAAATGAAATTCATCTTCGAAGATTGAGAGGTGTCTTCTCTCTTTCCATTAGAAGTTTTCAATCCTTTGAACATTATTTTGTTTGTTAGTTTGTGAACAAAAACATTCCCAATTGAAAATCAAAATAACTTGTAATAATGTCACTAGAACATTATAGTCAGTTTAAAAATGTTGAATTCATTTCAAAGAGTTGGGGAGTTTGGAATTTTTTCTTTATTTTTCCAGCAACACATCAGCTTTTGCAATGCTGGCAATAGGTCTATTCAGTTTGGATTTACTTGAATGACTATATTATGCTGGGGATAATACACCTTATTCGTAACTAATGTAGCTTTTTACTTTTCATTGTTTTTTTGACAATGAGCGTAACAGAATTCAAAAAATATTTATTAAAAGGTATATAATTTTAAAAGAAATAGGTTTTTAAGAAAAAAGGTTTATGGTTTTCATTTGTCCATCTTTATATAAAAAAGTTGTGGAAAAACTTCCAAAGAGTGGTACTAGGCCAGGTCATGAATACAACGACAACACTACTCTCATTACAAAAATCATCCTTGAGTAAGAATGACGATTGAGCATTGCACCCACATTTTCTCTTCAACTTTCCAATTTCCTCAAATGAACTAATTTATAATCAATCTATTTCAATACATAAATTTATTAGGAAAAAACTTGGGACTGATCATATATCTTATGAGCAATGGTATCGCTACTATGTGTGAGTAGTGAAACAAGTGATATATCTCTGATCAATTACAAAATAGAGGAAATTTCAAATTACATATTCAGTATGAAAGTAAAAGAAACAGTAAAAATTAGTTAAAAGACAAAATGCCACTTCAAGTCAAACTAGTCAATGCAGGAAATGGATTCTGCTTACTAACTACAACTTTTCTGTGCTGGTGTGAAATATACCCTTTTATTTTTCCTTCATAGATTAAATTTGCCATGATACACTGAGTTTCATCTAAATCCACATCTTGACCCAAACTCTCAAGAGCTGACTGCAGAGCTTCCACAGGAATCTGATGAGTATTCAGTATCAGATACACTTTTTTGAACAAATTCCTATAAGCTATAATCTTCAATTTGTCCACTATCAAATATATTCCACATTTGATGAAAAATGACTCGTGTTTCTCCATGAGATCATCAAACAACTTTAAATTTCCTTGGCAAACTGCTTGTACCAAATCCCAGAACTGAATCACATCATACTTCTCCAATACTTTTTTGCTAGGAATATAACCCAGTAACATTTTAACGGGTACAAGATAAATTAGAATAAGTCTTTTGTTTTTTCTGCTGGATTTGTGACAATTTTCGAAGGCATAGGTAAGGTACTCATCTGCTGCCTTATAGTTACTGTCATACATTGCTTTTCTGCCAACGAAATATCTGAAATAATATATTTTATTAAAAGATATGGAAAATCAAAGTAATAAAGATTTCACATTCAGGTAGAATTAAATTAGCAATAAATGAGCAATGAAATAACTTTTTATATTAACTACTACATACATTTCTATGTATTAGTTTCCAGAACTCTGGTGGAGAGGTTTTAAATATTTTGAATATCCCTAGAAGTGATTTTTTTTCACTGATTGAGAGTTATCTGACTTGTCCATTACCTTCAACTATTCGAAGAAACCTGAAGCCCAATTTTTCTTGTTCCAAAATCTAGTTCCCATACTAGTTTGAACAAGTATCTTGTTGAGTATTTTTCATATTCTCTGGGCATAATATTATCTGTAGTTTGCTTGCCTCCTGTGATTCAGTGCCTCACATTTCCGAAGAACGTGATGAAACATCTCTGTCCCATTTTTTTAGGTGTAATCTCAGGGACAGTGTTCAGCAAGTACCCCTATGAGGATACACTACAAAAACACACTTTTGTCTATTTTCCACGATATTTCTTCATTATTGACTGTTTTCGGCCATTACACCATTTACAAAACCAACTAGATTACCGAAGCTAGTCGTCCTCATTTCGTTCAGGTTGGAGCCTTACCCTTCCAACTGATGTTTGTCAAAGGTACAAACGGGTCATGACTGCTGGTGGGAAGGCGACATGAATGTCCTTAGACATCAGTGCCGCCATTCATGGTGTTCCCCTACCTGGCTGGGGGGAAATGGATGAAAACATTTTTTCATCTTTTAACGGAGGACATAGGGGCCTCATTCGAACGAGTGTCGGAGCCTTCTATATCAGGAGGGGTCGTCTACAGCATAATCCATAACTTCCCTAGCTAACGGACTTTCATGAGTTTTTGCACAATCAAAAACTCGATGATTCCTCCACTGAATGGGAACTAGATTACATTTAAATCTGAGTAATTTATAGGTATGTGGCCTATCCTATCATAAATCATTTGGTACCTACATTGTCTATACCTGGAATATCAATGAACATAAAAAACAAAACTTTTGATTTAATGTAGGTTTTGGGAACTGGATTATAGGTTCAGGAGAGTACTATTGTTTAGATCAAGTTGTTTGTTGAGAATAATAGAATTGGGATTTTAGTACTTTGACCTGTTTAGTTCCATAGATTCCAGCATTTTCTGGTAGAAATTTTGATATAAGGTACCATTAACACGTCATTTCGGTTACAAAATTATTAATGTACGAACATCTTCAAAATTCGAAACATAAAATAGATAAAGATAATTGAAAGATCCTCCACACATGCAAAAAAGAAAAAATAATGAATCTGTTGGAATCTATGGAAATAAACAGCTCAAAGAAAAATCCCAATTCTATTATCCTCAAGGAAAAACTTGATCTAAAAAACCTATTTTATATCAAAAGCTTTGTTTTTTGTTTTGTTATGTTCATTGATATTCCAGGTATAGACAATGTAGGTACCAAATTATTTATGATAGGATAGACAACATAGGTATAAATTACTCAGATTTAAATGTAATCTAGTTAGTTTTGAAAATGGTGTAATGGCCAAAACTAGTCAACAATAAAGAAATATCGTGGAAAATAGACAAAAGTTTGTTTTTGTAGTGTATCCTCAGTGAACAAGAATTTCCACAAAATAAACAAGGGAGTAAAGCCCTATGATTGAATCGGAATATGCAAAAAGGACATGTATCATTTTATGACCAATTTCATATTTTTACAAAAATTGGGTTCTTTGACATCATCAGGTGTTCCGTAAATGGACAGTGTCCAGTGAATTGTCCTGTATTTATTCTGAGTCAATTTGGTATTCAGTTCATTCCTCAGACTGTTTCCTTATAAAGTGTTTCTCATGCAAGTTCCTACACAGCATATATAAGGGGTATATTTTTCCACTATTTGTTGAGTTTTTATTGATATATTATCAGACTTGGTTTCAACAATCCTGGCACCCTGATAGCTGGTGCAGGGCTCAATTACTTGATGATCCAACACATCAAAAGTGGCTTATGTCTTGCTATCACCATTATTATCATATCTGATAAAACAATACCAAGTATTTTCACCATTGAAAAGCATCACTAAGTAATGATGTGCCTTTATATTATTTTCTCTTTAGCAATGAACTACTTTTCAGTAATGGAAATGCAACATTGAACAGAAGTCATTTTTTGTGGAGGAAATCCGAGTTTCTTATCAACTTTTTTTGGGCATTTTCACCAACCACAATCTGAAAAAAAAATTGTAATGGAGAAGTATCATCGATATAATCTGTTTTGCAAGAGAACACTTATTCAGTTTCATTCGTAGATTCAATAATATATGTGATATAAAATAAACAGTTAATAAATAACAAAATGTAGCTACAAATAGCAACACCAAGTCATCAACCACCATCTTAACAATTACTAGCTCATCAACCATCGAAATCTTTCACAACTGACGTTAAACCATCAAGTAATTCCAGAATAATCTCAAAAAATGGAAATGAGTATGACAATAAAAGTTCTTACAAAATGGAAAATATGCTGAGAAAATATAAGTGAAAGAACAAAAATTGCATTTATAAGATATAATGCTCTTCTGGTGAAAGTTATATTGGTGTAACTCAAAAACCATTGAAAGCTTGTGAAAATGAATATCGAAATTACATGAGAAATAGACAATTAGCAGTATCACCTCACTTCAATAGAGATGAGCTCAAAAAATTCAGCATATTTATATTCCTATATCTGAACACAACTGTATTTCGAACATCTCTTTAGAAATGGATAGTGCATGATAGTGGCATAATTGTTACAACCTAATATACTTTGCACTACATCGAATGTTTCAGAAGGCAATCAAAACATTGACATATTCCACATTTTAAAACTTCTTTCACATTTGTTGGGAAAGTTTGAGAATAAAGTGAACCAAAAAAAAACTGCAAGTTACATTAGTTTTTTTCAATTATAAAGTTTTAGGTAGATTTTAGCCTCTAAAATCTTTCAGAAACTGTAAAGACTTCAAAAATGAAGATAGCCTCATTGCTCCTCTTACCTCATATGTGAGAACATGTTTAGAATATGGCTCGCTGATTTTGTCTCCTATTTAGTTCAATTACATCTATCTGCTCGAATCAATTCAACGAAAATACTTAAAGTATATTGTATACAGAAGTTTTAGATAATACCTTATTACTAAACAGATCTTCCTTGTTATTTCTGGAACCTACCACTCTTGCATTTTTATATAAAACTCACAAACTACCTGACCGATCATCCAGAGTTATTATCTCAAATGAACTCCAACATACCCCGTTTGAACGGTAGAAGCTCACATCGGTTTCATTTATCTACTCCACGAACGAATATACTATTGAAATCTCCAATTCATTCAATGTGAAAAAAAAATCAATCAGATATGCGAAAAAACTGATCTATTTTCAACACCCATTGGAATGTTCAAAACGGAAATATAACATATTCTTTCCACTTTGTGCTGTTTATGAAAAACGTGAAAATGTATTCCTCTCTGTTCATACATGTTATTCATTTATATATGTTATTATGTTTTCTTTCCAATGTTTGTTTTTTTGTGATTATGATTCAACATTTTCTATCAATTATTGGTTCTTTTTCACAGTTACATGTATACTTTGTAAAAGCTGTCCTGTAAGTGGGTCTTGTACCTGTTTGGGCAATAAATGTTTTTTTTTTATTATAAGTAGGTATCTGTAAAATTTCTTAGTTTTTAGTAGCCTTATCAATGACAACTTGCTGATTGATAAAACATACTTCTTGAACTCATTGGGGTAAACTAAGAAATTGGGCCATTCTGCAACTGCATGAAGTTCTCCATTTCAATTTTTATTTTCTTTTAATGAAGGTTGATAAAAAAACTCGGAATTTCAATAATTTTGTTGTAGTGAAAGTTCAACTCTTGTTTAGTGATCTTTGAATATTATATCGTCCAAAATGCTTACCTATATGTTACTTGTTGTCCCAAGGGAAAACTCTCCTTGAACGGAGAAGACTCAATTGCTCTGATCAGAGGCTTACACAGATGTAGCTTATTTATTCTGAAATACACCTTGAACAATTGGTTGACAAGAGCTAACATTCCAATTCTTTTGGTATCTTCCTCCGCGGACCTGTTGTCAGCGGCACATACACGAAAACATGCCATAAGACATTCAGCAGCTTTCTCGAGAATTTCTCCAGGATTTTCTGTTGCTCCCAACCTTTGTTTCTCTGCTTGCTGAGCTATAAGTCTGAGATCTGAACATATTGTATACATAATTGGCAGACACCAGTTTTCTTCCTTCTGTGATTGCAATGTCTTAGTGAATGATTGAATAAGAGCACTTTGATATTTATAAGCTTCTAAGAAGTTTTTCTTGGAGATACTGTACAAGCATTTTAAATGAAAAATTATAAGCTCATCTAAAGGAGACGTGAGAAACCTATCAACTATTCCTTCTGGTTGTTCAATTTGATAGTTTGGATATTTGGAGTGGTCATGTCTCAAGGAAATGAATTGAGCTATTTTGTTACCATCTTGGCCTCGCCAGCTCCTGTCCAGAATTTGCAAATAATGAGCGAGAGTCATGAAAGACATTTTGCTAAAAAAAAATTAGGATTATTTTATGTTTTATAAATAAATGTAAATGAAAGTAGGGTTATATAGTCTAAACAGTTGATCTCTTCATTTTCATCAAAATATAAATGGCATTGTGCCGATACCTACCTAGAACGAAAAGCACCACTATCTTTATTTCAGCTAACAGGCAGTTCTTTATTTTATAGAATAAATTCTCTATACCTTAATTGTCAACATTTCATATTAGTAGGTATACACAGAATACTGATTGTAAACAAACTTGTTTCTGTTCTGTGTGTAGGTAATTGCACGTTTCTATTGATTTACAAATTTTTGACTATTTGTTCTTTGCCATCTCACGTAAAGAAGCCGTACTAACAGGTTTTCAATTCACTAGAACGTGCAGTCATTAGACAATGAGCGGGTGAGTTGTTTGAAGATTTCTTTTCAAACAACGGCGGCCGTATGTTCTATTTCATGAAAGGAAATACTTGAGTTCTGTGAAATAGATGGTGCTGTATGAAATTATTGATTTCTTTCCAACATCCTCATTTCATTAACAGCTAGGCCATTCCAATTATGATGTAATCAAAAATACAATTAGAATCTCTGGCACTTTTTACATATACTATGGATAGAAACATCTCATTTCACCAATTAAATTGACCATTAGGTGACTGATCATCTTGGTTGATGCAATTCGCGATACTTCAATAGTTTGAGGAAGAAGTGGTTTTACTGAAATTCACCACATTTTAAAGATATTCAAGATATCCAAATTGTAGAACTATATCAATCTCAATATCATATTTGTTTTCGTTTTTGTAAAAAAGAATGAGTTAGTTTCTTGGTTGACTTTTATACCGGGTGACAAATAAATCATTATACTCGGTGCCATTCGGTTGATTCCGGAGTAAAAAATTTGCGATTCAAAAATAAAGCATAGTTCTAACAATGCTAGGCACTATTCGACTGGAATATTTGTTGGTAATTGAAGATGGTCATTCAGTTTTCAACTTTAAGATTTTATTACCTAATTCACTTAAAAAAATAGGTGATTAAAACAGATGCATGAAGATGCAAACAGTGGTCCATTGATTTTTTGGAAAATGTATGTAAAACAGACTTTGAACAGGCAGATTTTGAACAGATAATGAAAATAGTGCACTTTTCTGTGGTTGTGTGCATTTAAACAAATTAGGTGGGATTTCGAATAAAACCCTATAAACATATTTCTTTATGGGATATGAAGCGTATCGCGAGTTTCTGCTTTGCTCTCTTGGCTGCATTTAACGAAAATATAGAATGACCATATACTTTTGATTTTTTTATATTTCAGTGACACCACCTTGCACTGACGAATGTCCAAACAGCCCAAAACCGATCTGCAAGTGTGTTCTGAAAATTGAAAATCTATTGCGGCAGTTGTATCGTCAACAGCATATGTATATAGGAATAATTTCAGTGAAGAATCCTGCACTGAGACCTGTCGGATATAATCGAACGCCCTTCGTGGTATTAGCTAGGGGAGTAGTTGTTTTATGATAGGTGTCACCCCTATAACCTACAGTGTAGGTAATTTGAGAGTGGCCTGAACGAATTGTTCTTTTAGATAATTTGATTCACAGCCAGTCTCCAAGTATGCCACTCAATTTGTGAAGTAAAAAAAATATATGGAATGATGGAGCTAAGTTTACCAAAAATGAATTATTTATTCGTCATAATACTCATTTTTGACCAGTGAACGATATTTCCAAGGAAGTTGAAGTTTTAAAGTTTATGTTGCTTTAAAGTATAATAGGACTCTGTGTTTGTACATCTATGATGGACATTTGTAAAGGATACTGTACAGAACGTTGTGGGAGTTGCAGTGAATAATTTATCAATTGAAGATGTAGAGAATATTTGGTACCAACAGGATGGAGCACTGCCTCATAATTGCCGGATCGTAGGCTTATTACCCAATGAATTAGAGGTGCATTGCCAACAATGGGCTTTACCTTTAGCCTTTGATATTTGTAAAATTGTACAACAATTCGGAAATATTATATATAATATTAAATATTTATAATGTTATCCAGATTTGCCGATAGGGCAAGAGTCTTACGGCGAAACATCGGATGTCTAGGAGTGAGAATGACAGTATTCTATGTAAGTGAAATTTTACCAATCAAGGAGATAAGTCTACGTTTGAAGGTACGAACTATGATACCATTCTGGACTTGACTGTATCCACAAAACATATCCGACCAAAGATGCTTCAGTGGAAAGTACTAGAAGACGAATCTGTTTGAAATCTCAGACAACGTACAGATGTATGGACAAATCTCACTGCGACAAGGACGGCAGGTGAAAAAACTTGACCGCCAAAATCTAAATGGCATACTGGATAACTCTGAAGATAACATGATAATTTTCAGCTGTGAAGATCTATCAACTAGTGCTTCTGAAGTCACGGAAGTTATTCTATCATCCATTGATGCATATATTCCTTTTTCAATGAAACGACCTTCTAACGGCAAACCTGGGTTTAACAAAAATTGCGAGCAGGCTGTCGCTTCCAAAAATCTCGCCTACTGGCAGGGGCGCAAAAATCTCAGTGCCGAAAATCGAACTAGGATCTAATTAGGAACTAGGAACTAATTAGGGATAAACTGCTTGCCAATCCCAATGGGTCAAGATCCTTCTGGTAGGTGGCTAAAGTTGTTAATCAGAACTTTACAAAATCCACAATTCCACCACTAATACAAGCGGATGGTTCAATTGCAAAAACAGCCATAGAAAAAGCAAATCTACTAGCTGAACAATTTGCGCCCCACTCCACAGTCGATTTTCTGGGAAAGTCACCATCCTCTAGTCCCACACTAGAATCCATAATGAGGGAAATTACTTTGCGGCAGCATCTAGTCAGCTCAATATTAACAAGGCTTCTGCCCCTAATAAAGTGCCCGTCATCGTACTTGAAATGTGCGCAAATGAACTCGCACCATTATTTTGCAGACTTTTCAACCTGTCTTACAAGAAGGGAGTTTTTCCGTCGAGTTGGAAAATTGCTCGCGTTCAGCCTATTCTCAAAACGGGTAAGAAAAATCTTTCAAATAACCATAGACCGGTCGCTTTACTATCAGTGATATAAAAAATCATGGAGAAAGTCGTAAACCACCATATCCTTCAATATTTGGAAGGATTCAACATCTTGAGCGATCATCAATACGACTTTCGGAAACGAAAATCAACAGGCGTGTGTGGCATAAGAGTTTGCTGGCCAAACTTTGATGCTATGGTTTGTCGGATCATTTCTGTGTATGGCTCTTCAGCTTCCTGAAAGAACATTCCTTGCAAGTGGCCGTCGATGGATATCTCTCGAATACTTTCACCATCAACGCTGGTGTTCCCCAGGGATCCATATTATCTCCAACCCTATTTTTATTGTATATCAACGACTCATTGGAAAAATCAAGAATCCAATATATTGCTTTGCTGACAACAGCACATTTGGATTTCAGGACATTCCATTTGGATTTCAGGACATCAGCTACGGAGGCACATCTTCACCGGCAGCAGGAGGTTGCATATCTTGAATGAGGATCTAGAAGTGATTTCGAATTGGGATGAAAGTAACCAGGTTCAATTCAATGCCACAAAAAGCCAGACATCGGTTTTCTCCAAGGAGATGAATGTCAGCGAATCGGTTATGATGATGTCAGGTTAGAAAATTCCGCTTTCTGCTTCGATAAGTTTGTTGGGGGTTAAAATGGACACCAATATGTCTTGGCACAATCATAGCGCTGGAGTTGCAAAGACTGCTTCTCAAAAGCTTGGAACACTGTTCCGAACCAGAAAACTTCTTTAGGGTATTGTTCTCATGTATAGAGCTCTGCCTCCAAACATACTCTGAAGTTGCTGGATTCCATCCAGAAAAGAGCCATCCGCCTGATTGAGGATGCGAACATCACGTGCAACCTTGATAGCCTGGAACATCGAAGAAAGGTTAGATATTTGTTTCTCTTCTATAGACACTTTTACGGGAGGTGTTCAAGAGACTAGGCTCATTCGATTCCATCAAGAGCGGTACATATCAGAAATACGTGACGAACTGTGTCTTCTCATCGTTTTGAGGTTCAACTCAGTACACCTCGAACTTCACTGTTCAAGAACTCTTTCATCTGGAGAACTCCGTTAATGTGGAATAAACTCCCTGAGAATGTTTTTCCAAATGGATTTGCTCTCCAGCGATTCAAATCCAATGTTAATCGCTATTTTCGCACAGGCACCGTTCTGAGAGTGCCTCATCATCTGACACGTAACTGAAGGTCATATGACGTCATTCAAGGACAAGGTCAAATGGTGGGGGGAGGTCCTCAAGCGGCCTTAGACAACTACTAAGGTTAGATATTTGTTTCTCTTCTATAGACACTTTTACGGGAGGTGTTCAAGTGACTAGGCTCATTCGATTCCATCAAGAGCGGTACATATCAGAAATACGTGACGAACTGTGTCTGCTCATCGTTTTGAGGTTCAACTCAGTACACCTCGAACTTCACTGTTCAAGAACTCTTTCATCTGGAGAACTCCGTTAATGTGGAATAAACTTCCTGAGAATGTTTTTCCAAATGGATTTGCTCTCCAGCGATTCAAATCCAATGTTAATCGCTATTTTCGCACAGGCACCGTTCTGAGAGTGCCTCAAGAATTTTCCTGTAGTGCTTGTGTTTTCCTCTTGAAAAAAATGTTTGCCCCAAGAGAATTTACAGAAAAATTGAACCGGATTTGTGATGAGTTGATGCCAAGAAAAACGAGTTGTATTTCGAGGAAACCAAATTACTGGTGGAACAATTATACTGCCCTACTAAGTAAACAGTGCCCTTCAGAAAATAAAATAATACACGAGATGCCTCAGAAGATTGCAGCTCGTGAAAAATTAAATTCACTGGTATTCCTATAACGAAAGCAAGAGGATACTAAGGAATACCATCAGAAAATCAAAGAGACATTGCTGGAAAAAACTATGTGAAGAAGTAGATAGAGACATTTGAGAAAATGAGTACATGAAAGCTATTAAGGGATTGCTGGGATTCCCTCCCAAACTGAATTTGACCGCTGACAAAATGAAGGAAGTGACAGACCACTTGTTTCCCATACATGAGCAAGTCTGCTTCACCTGTGATAAGGATGCGAGTTTCATGAATTTACGAAGAAAGAACTAGCCCTACAAAACCCAAATAACACTTTATCTGTTTACCACAATTGGCCAAGTGAGGAAACTTCCCGAGTAAATGGAAGAAAGCTAATCTCGTGCTTTCG